TTACCCACTATCCGGTCCTTGTTCCTCCTCGTTGGCCCGTTTTCGTCGTCGTCGTTGGTTTAGTTTTGGTGCCGTACGGCGAGGACTGGATCGTGTCCGCTCCTGCTAGGTGCCTGTTGATGGTGCTGGTGGAGGGCAGGGCAAGTTATCGTCGTTGCTAGTCCGGTATCTGGTATCTGTGAGTGTACTGGTATGTATATGTGTATGTGTGTGTGTATGTATGTGTTGCGGAAAGGGCCGGTCCTTCTGGTCCTCTTTTTCCTCCTGTTCCTTCACTTCTCGAACTAAAAGATGACAAAAATTCTTGATTAAGGTTGCGAATACAGAAGTAGTGTCACCATGTAGTGCACACACACATACATACACATACCACATACATATACATACATAGATAAACATATACATTGAATTATCGGAAGAACTCGAAAAACCAGTAATGATCGGTATTTGTGATGATGGTAGGATGATTTTGGGGTGGCCGATTGGAATGGAATGGAATGAAAAGGAGGGCGAACTTTTCAACGACACGAGAAAAGGGGACGGTCGTGAGCGATATTGAAAGGTAGAGGAAGAAGAGGAGGAGGAGAAGTTTTGAGAGAAATGTTGAGGGAGGGGTTCAAGGTAGGAATAGGATCAGGGGACAGGTATAATCCAAACAGCTGTCAACTGTTGAATTGCTGCACATACCTGCCATCTATCTATCAACCATATCGTTAATCCATTATTATTTTATTTCCAAATTTGTTGACCGTCCCCGCTTCTTTTCCTCCTTCGCCTTCTTCTTCTGTCGCGCAATGCTGCAGTTACTGCAGTAAAAAAATATTAAATTTCATTTACAAAGAGACGAAGAAAAATGTTAAAATTGTTTGTGTGTGTGTGTGTGTGTGTGTGTGTATGTGTGTGTATGGAAAAGTACTCATGTCGTCATCATCTTTTGTTCTGTCACTACTGTTTTACTTCAACTGCTATCGCTATATCATTTTAGTAGTAGAAAAGTTTACTACTGTGTCGCATTGATTTCGTGAGGCCAAATTATACCTACCTGTCTGTCCTCATTCATTTGTTATTGTCATCGAAAATTTTATAGTATGTCTGTGTGTGTGTGTATGTATATGAGTGAGATTTGAAATAAAATGTAAGTTGAAAAGGTGAGAAAAAGGCGAATCTACTTTACCTCAATCATTTGTCAAAACTCTTTCATCAAACCATCAAACAGTGGTTCTTGGTTGATCATCACCATCATCATCATCATAGCCATTACCATCATCATGATCATCACCATCGCCATCATCACTATCATCATTATCACCATCAATATTAATTATATCAATATCATACCATCATCATCTCACGATCATGTCACCACTATTATCATCATCACCATCTTCATTATGTTACCATCATCATCACCATCATCACCATCATCATCACTATCATCATCATCATACCATCATCATCTCACAATCATGTCATCATCATTATCATCATCATCTTCATCATGTCATGATCATGTTACCATTACCATCATCTCATCATCATTGTCAACATCATCGTCATCATTATCATCAATGTCGCTTGTTGTAATCACTGCCATTGTTGTCGTCATCTGATTCCTCTCAATTCAGTCGCTCATCTGAATTTTCAAACTTGAAGTGATACAAACAAATATTGCAAGATAATAAATCTATCTAATAAAATAATGGTTTTAATCTCAGTTATTGTTTGATAAGTTTTAAATTGAAGATGACAATGAAAGCTAATGAAAGTAATGATAAATAATTATTTAACAAAACAACATGGAAAGACATGGAAAAACAAAAGCAGCATTTTTATATATATGAAATGACGCAAAATTAAAACTACATTTCATTACATTTTTAATTTCAATTGAGATATTGAATTTGCGACAGCAAAAATTAATATGTAATACAATATTTTCAAATCTCAAATATTTTCATTATTTTTTATACTACATAAATAATATAACTCAATTTAATCAATTTCATTAATTCATTTCATGTCTTGCTTAATAACATATGCTAACTTCATTTTACGTTTACTTCATTTCTGAAATGTCATAATAGATAATATTTTTCCTAAAAAAAGATTTGATTAATCATTAACTAAAATTAAACTAAAATTAATTTTCGTCATCATTTTCATTTAATGATTAATTAAATATAAAAGTGAAAATAAAAAAAATAAAAAACAATAAATGAAAATGCATATGTAAATTAGAAACATTCACTAAATAATGCGATTAAATCAAAATTATGAATCAAAATTATGAACAAAATTCTTTTCACTTTTTTTACTCAGTTACTACTAATTCATGTTTGTTATTTATTTAACTACTTATCATATTACATCACACATGTAATAAATGTCGTCTAAGCTAACCTGTATTTTTAATTTTGATGTGAAAGTCCAGTTTCTGTGATGTTATTCCATCAGGAAAAAAAAAAAAGATGAAATGATGACCTCAATAAACTGGTCCTTCTGTCTGTCTGTATGTTACAGTTAAAATTGAAATAATAAAAGTTAATTTGAAAATTTTGTCAATTCTGATAGCTTATCAAATATTATTTTATGATCAATTTATTAAAGAATAAAAAATAAAACAAATGAATATTTTAATATTTTTGCTTTGTTTTTCTTTGCTTCTTATTTATAAAATATCAATAATTTTATATCAATTATTTCATTATTAAACTTTTAATACAACATTTGGTAATTTTTTTTTTTTTTTTTTAATAAGTTAAGGTATTATTTTAATAAATTATTAACACATTAGAAGTGATCGTGATTGTTTTGTTTACTAATATATAAATTGAAAATCAAATGTTAATTTTGAAAAGTCGTATTTTGCCCGAAAATGTTATTATCATTTAATTGTAAAATTATAGAAATGCATTTACTGAGTGATTGATAAATTCTTTCTTGGAAGTGATATTTTCATTTTAATTAATTTATAATAATAACATTTGTTATTGCAGACAGACAAATATGATTATTAAACAGGTTTCATCCATTTAATTGTTAAAAATAATTATAAGTTTATAAGCGACGCTTATATCATATTTTAATTCACTAAGGTCATGATAATTAAATGATAAGAATTGATAATGAAATAGTTTTGCTAACATATCATTTAATATAGCAAAAATAATGGAGTTGAAGAATGCTATCACTTAAATATAATTTTTTTTTTTTTTGATTTTTAAAAGAAACTTAATTTTACTATAATATTTTATTCATTAAATGACTAATTTCAAAGACAAGGAAGAAAGAAGTTGTGCAAAATTTTTGTCTTCAAAAATTGTTTTAAATTCTTTTTTTTTTAATTTATAAAACTTACATAAAACTTTTTCCAATTTTTTTTTTTTTAAATGAAGAAAATTGGGAGATATTATAGAGCATTACTATTAAATTTAAAAATATTTAACAATTCGAGTTTAATGAAATTCATGTAAATGATTGTCAAATCCATGTCATTACCAATGATAAATCTAATAATGTTATAATTTGAATTTTGTTTGAAAAGTTAACTGTTGTGATTTGTGATTTGTTTACGTACGCAAAAACCGTATATCATTTATGAAATGCAAAGAAATGATTGTTGATTCAGTAATTAATTAATTAATTAATTCAGTAATAAATTTATTAATACATTAAAGCACTGAAAAATTTTCATCAATTGATTACCAAATTCTCATTTGAATGATTAGTTTTAATAAGAATAAATTCATAATTCATTATTCATATAATACTATGAAATGTTATGAATTTAAAATTTTCTGAGAATTATTAATAATAAAATTAACAATGATAAATAAATGAACAGTTAATAATATTCAAATTTTTATTAAAAGTACTCAAAAAAAAAGTGAGGATAATAAATTTAGAAAAGAAGAAAAAGTAGTAATTAGCACTAATTTTTTCTTTTATTTTTTCAAAAATTTCATTCTTCTTTTTGCAATTTGAATTTAAATAAAGTAGCATTTTACTCGATGCTTCCAAAAATTTTTTTCCAAAATTTACAATAAAAATATTAAATGCATTATTTATTTTCTACACTTTCTTGAATTACTATAAATTTGTACAATTTTTCAATACTATAAATAATTTGAATAAATATAAAATGACAAATAGTATTTTCAATTACAATTGCAAATTAAAGGCGAATTTAAAATATTTTTTCTAAAAAAAAAAAAAAAAAAAAAGAAGAAGGATGACATATCAATCACAGTTTTCAGCTATGTATAAAAAAGTTCAGGTGTGCTTAGGATGTGACAATAGAATTCAAATTTAAATGAAAAATATAATAGGAAAAGAGAATTTTAAATTTTAGATGAATTAATTCAAAAGGAAAATTTTTTAAATTATTTTTTGTTATTTCTTCTTTTTTGCTGTACAATAAAATAATTGTTATTTAAAGGACAGAAGAAAAAAAAAAAGTGTAGCGCAATTGTCATATAACAAGCGTGGAGAATTATGCGCATTTGTCGTAGTAATAAGTTACAAAAGAGAAAATCTTTTTTTTTTTCGATAAGATGAAATTTTTAATTTAAAACTTTTAATTAAAATAAAAAAAAGAAAATTTTGATATGAATTTTATTTTAAACAATTTTTATTTTTGTTTTGTGCCTAATAAATTTGCTCATTAATTGTTCAAATCTTTTGTATTTGCAAAACTATTTTTTAACAAATACTAACTTTTAATGATTTTAACTCTTTAACTGTTCAATCTTTCGTTTTCTATTTCCTTTTATTTATTTATTTATTTTTTTTATCAAACTATTATGTCATTGGTATAATTTTATTTTTTATTCTTTTTTCAAATAAAATGAACCAAATTACATATATTCGAAAAATTTTTTTTTTTGTTTCTCTTTTTGTTTATTTGTTTGTTTGTTGTTTGTTTGTTTGTTTGTTTGTTCATAATATTTATTATTTCTTCTTATTATAATAATAAATTATCCAAAAAAAAAAAAAAAATTTTAAAGTTCTTCCATTTGTCCATATGAATCCAAAATTTTCTTATAAAGCGCAGAGGCAATAAAACGAGGATACGAGTCACGTTGCATTAACGTGTAAATTTGACTTTGAGCTTCATCAAATGTATGTACCGTTGGATGAATCATACTGTTATTGATTGCTTCCCTAACATTTGAATCGAGTGATACTTCTTTGGCTGATAAAATTGAAATGAAATCTTCGTAAATTATTCGTGCCTAAAAAGAGAAAATTATGCATAAAGTATTTATAGCTTATAGCAAAATTTATTAGTTTAATAGTTTAAATATTTAAAATTATTGCAACAAAGAAAAAAATAAGAATAATAGTATTAAGTTTAATTATATTAATAAGTAATTGCAAAAAAAAAATAATGAATAACTTTTATAATTATAACTAAAGAATTTTGTTTAATAAATTATAACAATAAATGAAATTATAATAAATACTAAACAAAATTTAATAAATGTCTATTATCTATCTATCTATCTATCTATCTATCTATCTATCTATCTATCTATCTATCTATCTATCTATCTATCTATCTATCTATCTATCTATCTATCTATCTATCTATCTATCTATCTATCTATCTATCTATCTATCTATCTATCTATCTATCTATCTATCTATCTATCTATCTATCTATCTATCTATCTATCTATCTATCTATCTATCTATCTATCTATCTATCTATCTATCTATCTATCTATCTATCTATCTATCTATCTATCTATCTATCTATCTATCTATCTATCTATCTATCTATCTATCTATCTATCTATCTATTACTATCTATCTATCTATCTATCTATCTATCTATCTATCTATCTATCTATCTATCTATCTATCTATCTATCTATCTATCTATCTATCTATCTATCTATCTATCTATCTATCTATCTATCTATCTATCTATCTATCTATCTATCTATCTATCTATCTATCTATCTATCTATCTATCTATCTATCTATCTATCTATCTATCTATCTATCTATTCTATCTATCTATCTATCTATCTATCTATCTATCTATCTATCTATCTATCTATCTATCTATCTATCTATCTATCTATCTATCTATCTATCTATCTATCTATCTATCTATCTATCTATCTATCTATCATCTATCTATCTATCTATCTATCTATCTATCTATCTATCTATCTATCTATCTATCTATCTATCTATCTATCTATCTATCTATCTATCTATCTATCTATCTATCTATCTATCTATCTATCTATCTATCTATCTATCTATCTATCTATCTATCTATCTATCTATCTATCTATCTATCTATCTATCTATCTATCTATCTATCTATCTATCTATCTATCTATCTATCTATCTATCTATCTATCTATCTATCTATCTATCTATCTATCTATCTATCTATCTATCTATCTATCTATCTATCTATCTATCTATCTATCTATCTATCTATCTATCTATCTATCTATCTATCTATCTATCTATCTATCTATCTATCTATCTATCTATCTATCTATCTATCTATCTATCTATCTATCTATCTATCTATCTATCTATCTATCTATCTATCTATCTATCTATCTATCTATCTATCTATCTATCTATCTATCTATCTATCTATCTATCTATCTATCTATCTATCTATCTATCTATCTATCTATCTATCTATCTATCTATCTATCTATCTATCTATCTATCTATCTATCTATCTATCTATCTATCTATCTATCTATCTATCTATCTATCTATCTATCTATCTATCTATCTATCTATCTATCTATCTATCTATCTATCTATCTATCTATCTATCTATCTATCTATCTATCTATCTATCTATCTATCTATCTATCTATCTATCTATCTATCTATCTATCTATCTATCTATCTATCTATCTATCTATCTATCTATCTATCTATCTATCTATCTATCTATCTATCTATCTATCTATCTATCTCTATCTATCTATCTATCTATCTATCTATCTATCTATCTATCTATCTATCTATCTATCTATCTATCTATCTATCTATCTATCTATCTATCTATCTATCTATCTATCTATCTATCTATCTATCTATCTATCTATCTATCTATCTATCTATCTATCTATCTATCTATCTATCTATCTATCTATCTATCTATCTATCTATCTATCTATCTATCTATCTATCTATCTATCTATCTATCTATCTATCTATCTATCTATCTATCTATCTATCTATCTATCTATCTATCTATCTATCTATCTATCTATCTATCTATCTATCTATCTATCTATCTATCTATCTATCTATCTATCTATCTATCTATCTATCTATCTATCTATCTATCTATCTATCTATCTATCTATCTATCTATCTATCTATCTATCTATCTATCTATCTATCTATCTATCTATCTATCTATCTATCTATCTATCTATCTATCTATCTATCTATCTATCTATCTATCTATCTATCTATCTATCTATCTATCTATCTATCTATCTATCTATCTATCTATCTATCTATCTATCTATCTATCTATCTATCTATCTATCTATCTATCTATCTATCTATCTATCTATCTATCTATCTATCTATCTATCTATCTATCTATCTATCTATCTATCTATCTATCTATCTATCTATCTATCTATCTATCTATCTATCTATCTATCTATCTATCTATCTATATCTATCTATCTATCTATCTATCTATCTATCTATCTATCTATCTATCTATCTATCTATCTATCTATCTATCTATCTATCTATCTATCTATCTATCTATCTATCTATCTATCTATCTATCTATCTATCTATCTATCTATCTATCTATCTATCTATCTATCTATCTATCTATCTATCTATCTATCTATCTATCTATCTATCTATCTATCTATCTATCTATCTATCTATCTATCTATCTATCTATCTATCTATCTATCTATCTATCTATCTATCTATCTATCTATCTATCTATCTATCTATCTATCTATCTATCTATCTATCTATCTATCTATCTATCTATCTATCTATCTATCTATCTATCTATCTATCTATCTATCTATCTATCTATCTATCTATCTATCTATCTATCTATCTATCTATCTATCTATCTATCTATCTATCTATCTATCTATCTATCTATCTATCTATCTATCTATCTATCTATCTATCTATCTATCTATCTATCTATCTATCTATCTATCTAATCTATCTAATCTAATCTAATCAAAATCAAAATCAATTTTTTAGTTTTATATTTTTTTTTCAAATTTTTATTTTTTTAGTTTGATATTGTATATGAACCATAAATTTTCAACTAACAATGCAAACTATAATTTGTGTTGTAAAAGCAATTTAAGCAAATAAAAAAAAAAAAAAAACAAAATGAAATGGAAAAAGACTTTTCATTCTAAAATATAAATCTAGTTCTCAAATATTAAAAAAAAAAATTTAAAAAACACAGACGCAAACAGTTTGCTATATTAAATACCTCATAATTCATTTTTAAATTTCTTTTATAAAAAAAAAACGAAAAGAAAAAAAAATTTTTTCTTTTGACTTTTTTGTTAATTTAAATAATTTTTGTTTAGGTGGTTTTTTAGTAAAAAATTCTGAAAATTTTACATCAAAATTGTAGATTAATTAAATTATAAAATTACTATTAATATGCCATGAAAAAAAAAAAAAAAAACTAACAAAATTCATTATTTTATTATACTTAAACAATACTTTTTATTTTCTTTTATTTCATTTAAAAATTTTTCTAATCTAAATAGAAACTTTGAAAAAAAATATTATTTTCAAATATAATTTATTGCTTAAATTACAAAAACTTATTTAAGTATCTCAGAAAAAGAAAATTGTGTAAATTAAATCAGTTTACATTCCATTTGTCCTTTTTTTTAAAGGAAAAAAAAGTTAATCAGTTAATTAAATTTCATTTTTTTTTTTCTATTATTACTAATATATTTTTGAAATGTTTGTTTAATAATTTATTCATTTGCTTTTCTCTCTTTTTTTTTTTTAAATTCTAAGAATTAAATAATAAATTTTTTCTCTTCATATTATTTTGTTTGTTAGTTGATATAATATAATTTGAATTGTTAAACCACACTCACTTTAACATATTTATTTATCAATTAGTATCGATACTAAATATTTCAAATAATTATACTAAAGTAGTATAAATATCAGTAATTTTAATACCTAAAAAAAAAATTATACCATACTTAATATTAATTAATAAATATTTATTTATATTTACAAATATATATTATATCGATAAATTATTTAAAATAATAAAACTAAACCTTTTCTGCAATTTTTTTTTGATTTACTTCATGCTTCAGTTCTTCACATGCTTGCCAAAATAAAATATTTTCATCGCTAAATTCACCTTTTAAGAATTCAGCAAAATATTTTTGCCCTGCTAAAAAAGAAGAAAAAAAAAAAAAGCAAAAATATAAAAAAATATAAAATTTCACTTTTAAGAAATTGATGGATGATATTATTTTTAAAAGTTTAAAATTTTACATTCTCAATCAATTAATTTTAATTGATAAAAGATAAAAAAATTAATTGTTTTTTTAACTGTTTTATTTTACTTAACACAAAAATTTGTGATAAAAAGTCTATTTCATATTTTAAATTTAATTTAAACATTGCTGAAATCTTTTTTTTTTTTAAAAAAAAAATCTATGAAAAGTTTTTAATAGTAGTGACAGTTTTCAATTTTTTTGCAATTGAATTAATGTCCTAAACTATGGCAAAAGTTTAAATAATAACAAAATAAAAAAAATATAATTGATAATAATAAATAAATATATCAGTGATAAGAAAAGATAAATTAATAATAATTGTAAACAAAATTTAATAATTTTTAATAAAATTTAGAGAAAAAAAATTTTTTTTTTAACTATTCTAATGGAAAACATTAAATCATATCAAAATAAATTTATAATTTTAGTGATAAGTGTAATATAAAGCAAAATTTGCTTCTTTTATTTCTTATTAAATAACTATTATTTATTTTAAATATTAATTATTATTAGTTGTTTCAAGTAACACTTACTGTAATTATTTTCTAAATACATTTTAGTTATTTTAAATATTATTTATATTTATTTGTTTCAAATATAAATTATTATTTACTTTTATTACTTTTTGTTATTTATGTTCTGTTTACTTTTATTTTACATTTGTTAATATCAATTACAAATAGACTATGTGAAATATATTTTTGTTTTCATATTTTTGATTGAAAACATTAATTTCATTTTTTTTTTAAATATTTTTTTTAAAAAAAATTTTTTATAGTTAGTTTTATTGTTGCATATAAATGTATGACAATCATATATATATTTTGTAATAAAAAACCAAAAAAAAGAAATTTTTTTTAGCAAATTTTTTATTCAAAAAATAATATTTAAAAACAATGAAAATTTGCTTAGCTAATTAAAAATGATTTAAAAATTTAAATAATTGAAAAAAAAAAAAAATTTCCAAACATACAACGATGTTTCATAAGGCAATCAAATGATGTTCGCCATGCACATACTTCCTCGAATGATACTCTACAAATAACACAATAAATTAACATAGTTTCACAGCAAATAACGCTACTCTGCAAATAAAACAATAAATCAACATATTGCTTTGCAAATAATTTTTATTAAAAACAAAAAGAAAACATAATAATTGCTCTACAAATAATAATAATAACAATAAATAAAAATAATTTGCACTAAAAATAACAATGAAATTTTCTTTTTTTTATGTTTACTATTAAACAATAAAATTTGAAAATAAAAATAGAAAAAAATTAGTAACCAAAAATAGTAAACAGAAAATTATAATAGGCTAGAATTTAGTAAGAAAGCAAACAAATGCTTAGGTAAATAATTGATGAATGAATTTATAAATATATATTGCTAGAAATATACTTATAATGAAGTTTACAGAATTGAAATTAATAAGTAAACATTTAAATACGTAATTTATTTATATGCAAACATAATAGAAAGTATTAAATAATTTGATACAAAGATATGAAAATGAAATATTAATTCATATTTTATTAGTTATAGGAATTAAACATATAATTGATTAAATAATCAATTAAATAAAATTTAAATTTTTTTTCAAACATATTCATTTGAAAGAGAATGAAAAGAAGGAAAAGCAAAATAAATAAATAATTTTTTATTATTAAAAATTTTACTCTTTTATTTATATTTTTCTTGTTTTATTCAATAAATTTAACTGTTTAATTTTGATTTTTAAATTTTCTTTTAAAATATAATACAAAATTATTTGGTTCTGCTATATAAATTATGTATATAATTGATAAATTGTTAAATAAAAATAAAAATTAATAATTTTTTAATTTTTTTTTCTCAAACATAAAATTTTTCAATTTTGATACATAAATTAGATACATATAAATAATTATTGAACAGTTGATAACTTATTAAATTTAAGTAAATATGAAATATAATTTCTCCTTTAAACTAAAATATAATGAAGGATAAGGATTACGTTACGTAAGTTAAAGTAAAATAGATAACGTAATTCTCGAATGAGTACTATTGCAAACAATTGTGGGAGTACAAATCGGAATCACAAATTCATTCATTCATCTATTTCTATTTGATGACAAATTCCATTCTTATTTAAATATTTGAAATAAAACTAAAATAAAATTAAAATAAAATATAGGGAAAATATTTATTATCAATTAATAATAATAATAAATTTTTTTTTTTAAGGAAAATAATTGAATTATATTTTATAATATATAAAAGATGTTTTTTGTAAAAATTTAATAATTTTTGTAATTTTATATCGCTTAATCGCTTTTTTTTTTAAATTAATAAGTTGCAAATTATAATATTTAAAAAAGAATTTTTTTTTTTTTTTTTTTTGTTGTTTTTGATATAAATAAAAAAAGAAAAAAAGATGAAAAAAGAGTTATAAAAATAATTTATAAATTATTTATTTATTTATTTATTTTATATTATATATTATTCAAAAAAAAAAAAAATAGAACAGAAAGAGAGAATGAAAATAAATAAAACTTACTTTTCACTGATATTAATAGTTGATAATTCTTCAACAGTTAATTTATCATCATTCTGTGCTGGCAAGCTAAAATAAATTTATGAGTATTAATAAGTATCAAATTCAAATATGCAAATTATTTATATTTTATTAAATATAAAAGATACGACTTTATATATTTTAATATTTTGCATTCATTTTTTTTTTTTTTTTTTTTGTTGTTTATTTTCATAAATTTTCAAAATTTCAATCCTTTGATTTTAAAATAAAAATTTCAAACAAATTGATAATGATAATGACATTATATGGGAATAATAATTATACATTTTGAAGTGTTTCTTTCTTTTTTATGAGTGCTAGTGATAAGGTATCATTAAATAAATAGTTTTTATCAATAATATTTTTAGTTTTTCTTTTTTATTTTATAGTTAATTCTGTTTTACTTATTTTGCTTTGTTTTGTTTTAAATTATAGAATCTTCAATTTTAAATGGTAGGATTAAATTTGAAATAATCATAGTAAGTGACAAATTTCTCTTAAAATTTAATATGATAAGTTATCAGTTTGATGCTTTTAAAAAAATTAGAATATGCTATAGCAATGTTATAAATATTAAAATTTTTTTCTCAATTTATCACTGTGAATTAGATGAATTCTTGAAAAGAGAAAAAAGTTATTAATTTTTAGAGAAATCTCTGAATTAAATGCATTACTTAATTAATTTATCAATTAATCAATCAATCAATCGGTCAATTTAAACATTTTTAAAATAAATTTTTAATTTTCTCCTATTTTTTTTTTTTTTTTTTGATTCCAGCTTTAAATAATGAAAATTATAAAAAATTTATTAATAAATAAAAAAGAAAAAGTAAAATATTATTTTGGAGAAATTTTTTTAAAAAATTTTAAACAAATTAAATTTAAACATTACTAAATTCTTCATTATTACTTACTCTTACATTACGTATATTTTATAATTGTTGATATTAAAATTAAATTTTAAAAATGGAACAAAATTTATATTTTATTAAATATTTAAATAATAAAAAATTGAGAGGATAAAAGAAGACAAGAAAAAGAGAGAGAGAGAGAAAAAGAAAGGAATGCGCACAAAGATGAGATTAAAAAAAAAAAAAGTGCTTTTGTGGAAAGAAATTTACTTCCTTAATTACTTCATTTCATTTTACTTTTCTCGAAACTTTGTCACCAAATAATATCTTTTTCGTGTTGACATATTTGCAAAATCTGGAAAAAAAAATTAAACAATTGATACTATTACTGAATTATATTTTAAGTGCTGCTATTATTATTATTATTATTATTATTAAATGATAAATTAAGTATTATTGTTATTTATTTCAAAAAAAAAATTCTTCTTTTTTTTTTCAAATAAATTATTCAATAAAATAATTAAAATTGAGAAATAAAAATTTTTTTCTTTTTGTTTTATTTTCTTTTTTAAAGCTTTTTTCACACAAACATTTTTCACTTACTACGAAAAAAAAAAAAATTATTATTCATTTTTTTTTTTTTTTTATTAATTATTAAAGTATTTTGCATTGAATGAATGAAAATTCATTGCATATATCTTTTAAATTTTAATATTTAATTATCTCATATTTATTTATTATTCTTTGTTCTTTGGTTATATATTATATGTATATTTAAGTATTAGAATATTAAGAAGGCAATTAAATATTTGAGTATTTGATTATTGTACCTTCTTTTTTGAGTAATTTTTTTTTTCTTTTATTTATTCAACGATTACTCAATCCCTTAAGAAAATGCTATTTGAGAAAGTTTCTCATTTCATTTCATTTAAAAGCTATATGAAAATGATAGAAATCAATAGTGCTATGGTAACCATATTTGGTAGATGGAAAAAGCTATGATAGATTTGAATGCATCATTATAGATTATACAAAAAAGAAAAGAAATTAATTAACGAATAAATTGTGACAAATTTAATTATTATAAAAGGTAATAATTTATATATTATATAGTAATAAGTTTATTACATAGCAAAATGCATAGAAAAAATTTTTTCAAATTTATCCAAATGCCATTTATTGATAATTTGATAAAATACGTCATCTGTGTTATCAATGTTATCAAAATGATTTATGCTAAATCATTTACTAATTTGATTTTGAATTTGATTACGCATACGATAAAAAGTATCGAAAAGTGATTAATTTTGTAATATTCAACGTCACTAATAATTTGATTCCTAACATCACAGATTATCAGAGTAATTTATTTGTGATAACGATTATTATTTATTGATAATTTAGCAACATACAACAAAGTTTATATCAGAGTAATTTATTTTGTGATTAAATTTCATTCGCAATTATTAATTCTCTCTGGTGCTGATAAATTTTAAATGCTTGAAATCTGGGAGTAATACGAAAAAAAAAAAAAAAAAAAGAAAAAATAAGGAAGCTAAACTGTATCATTAAATTGTATAAATAAAAAATTAAATTTTAATCAAATGTAAAAAATAAAAAGATTGATTATTGGATATAAAAATAAAAGAAATTATTGAAAAATTCAAATAATAAAAAAGATATGTAAAATTAAAAAAATTGAAAAAAAAAGGAAAAAAAAAGAAAAAAATTGACCTAGAATTAATTCAAAAATTTAATTTTGTAAATGTAAAATTTGAAAAAATGAGTTTTTGTTGTTTTCTTTTTTTTAAGAATGAAAATTAAAATTTAAATTATTATACGTTCAATAGTTGAAATCACATCAAAATTAAATTCAATTCAGATTAAATTGAACTAAACCAAAAAATTGAATTTTTTACAAAATAAACAAAGCGATATTTTCTGAAACAAAGAACAAAAAATATTACTCAATTTACTATGAATTGCAATAATTAAAATCAACTAAGTAAAATATCGTGCAAACTATATAGTACTAAACTGCAAATTGTTTAACTTGCATTTGCATTTGCATGCTAATAAAATGAAATGCAAGTTTGTAACATTACACAATTGCAATTGATTTAAATACAAATTTCATATAAATTCGTAATATTTATTGGCAATAATTATGCTCGAAGCATGCATTTTCAAGAAATCACTTTGAAAAAGTATGAAAAATGCATAAGCATTTATGGTACTATTATCAGTGATAATTATAATCAGTCTATCATAATCATTATCACATGCATGTAATAATCAATTAATCATAAAATTACATCAGTTATTTAAGTATTATTTGTAATAATTAATCCAATGTTTACTTACTTAATTAACAAACAAATAATGTACCAATTTTCACGAATAAAACTAACATTATTGTGATAATTTATGATCACTATTCGATTATCATTATTATCATCATTATGTTGATATTTCTATTATTATTATTGTCACTATTATTACTACTATTACTATTGTTGAGCAATTATTAATAAATCTGCTACAACGATTATTACTATCAATTATCATTTACTATCATCTATTAGTATGATTGATAGTTTGATTTTGGAAAATAAAAAAAATATATTAAAAAAAAAAAAGTAAAAAAATTAAAAAATCCTATTCATTTATTTTATTTATTATTATTCTTTAGTATTGTTTAGTAATTTATGATTTCTTTCAAATAATTATTCCAATTTAAATGATACATTAATATTATCTCTGAAATAAACTATTAATATTTGCTGTTCTTTTAATAAATAACCAATTAAATTGTCAGCAATCAATGAAAAATTAAAATTATTTTTTAATGCAATCCTTTCATTTTCTTTTTTCCTTTTTTTTTTTTAAATTGAAAAAATGAATAAAATTATGATATGATTTAAGACATTTTTTTTTATTTCAGCTATTAAAAAAAAAAAAAAAACAAATCTGAATGATATGATCAAATATTTCACACTGATAATTAGTTATACATTTCCTTTCCATGATAATTTCTTCAGAAACCTTTTTTTCAGTAGCTAAATCATTTTTTGAAATTTAAACATTGAAATTTATATAACAATTTCATTCTTTATTATTCATATATAACTAATAGCTCTGATCTTTTATTTATTTAGGCACAAACTGATAACTCTGATCTGACTTATTATATGTTAATTAGTATTCATGAATGATATTTAATTAAATAATTAACAAAATATTCATGCATTTGACTTTATATTAAAAGAAATTAAATTTATCATTTAAAACGAACGCTATATTCCAATAATATAAATTAAATAATTAATTAAAAACAAAATTATATCAAAATAATCAATTATATCAGATAAAAATGATAATTTATACAGCGCTTACCTTTGATTATTTCCTATAGAAGAACAATTGCATGGAAGAAATTTCATCAGCATTTGTGCTACTGATTCTGACAGTTTGAATTGGATATTGTATATACGTAAATTATAGTATCCCAGCGTAAACCACGTATCACGTGTATATCTCGTTGTAATTGTTTATTTCTAATCGTAACAGTTCCTTATCACTGAGATGATACACATCTGTTAATAACAAATAAATATGCATTTTAGTTTACAATTTTTTTTTTTTTTTTTTTTCGTGTTATGCGTATAGATATTATATACCAAATGTTATTGTTACTGTTACTGCTATTGTTGTTGTTTGTTGTTGTCGTTGTCCTTGTTGTTGTAACAATAACAATAGCAACAACAATAGCAATAATAATTAATAATAGCAGCAAAAACAACAACAATGACACGAAATAAAAAGTAATATTAATAGGTGTCCTCAAGCAAGCCAATGATTAGTCGTCACGACATGATATTGGGATGCTTTCCTGGCTCATAATGGAATTAGGCTAGTATATATGTATGTGTGTATGTGGCCTATAGCCTTGGCTAATAGAGAAATGAGAACATAGAGGAGGAGAATTATAAAATAAGCCAACAAAATATAAAGCATAAAACGTAAGCTTTATAACAGCTAACACATGATACATACACACATACATGCATACATTCACATGCATACACATACACACATACAGATGTATGTATGAAGATATACTGATAAAGAATTATTCTATTATTGCAAACTGGCCTTATTCTCTTTGCTATTGCATTTAAGGCCTGATAAACATACATGTGTGTGTCTGTGTGTATGTGTGTATGTGTATGTAATGGTCAAGTGTTCGCAGGCCGACATTTCACATTCCTAAAGAGTTTTAGGCATGTTACTGCCAATTTCTATTAGCTTACTTAGCTTAAGAGAGTAAAGACACTCTTATCTTGACATATCTGACTCTGCTACAAATGACAATAACAATGTATGAATGTGTGTATGTGTGCATGTGTGTATGTATGTATGTGTGCATGTGTGTATGTGTGTATGTGTGCATGTGTGTATGTATGTATGTGTGCATGTGTTTATGTATGTATGTGTGCATGTGTGTATGTATGTATGTGTGTATGTGTGTATGTATGTATGTGTGCATGTGTGTATGTATGTATGTGTGTATGTGTCACATACGAATCACTATGAAATGCCTTCAAAGCTTATTAAAAGAAGCAATTTGTACATTTGAAATTATTGAGAATTAGCAAGAAATCAAAAAGTTCTATTTACTTCAGAACTAATTTTCTTATCTTTTTCTTTCCTTCTTTTCTAATATCTTTAAAAATTCTCTCTTTCATTATCTCACTCTCTTTCTCTCTCTCTTCTCTCTCTCTCCGTTTCTTCTTTAACTTATTTTTATTTTTTCTAATTAAAAAGGAAAAAGTAATGTTTAACAGTCGAAATGATAGCTTAACTGTTAAATGATAGGTTAACTCTCTTTTTACCTTTTTCTCGTTCCATCTGTCTCTCTCTCTCCCTTCCCCTCTCTCTCTCTCTCTTTCTCTCTTATTATTTTCATTTCTCTTTGAATATATTTACGATAAGTTGTAATTTAACAAAAAAAAAAGAGAAAAAAGTATTTACATTAAAATTTCTTTTTTTTCTTTTTTGTTATTTTCATTTTTTATTTGATGAAAAAAAAAAAAATTTTTTTCTTTTCTTTTAAAATTTCATTTGCATTTTTTAAATTTAAATCTTTCACTAAAAAGCAATTTAAAGTTTAAAAAATTCAAAATTCATTTCCTTCCTTCCTTTTTTAACCATTAATGAGTGTAATTCATTAATAAGTAATAATGTTATTTACATTTTCACAATTAACTGATTATTTATCACATTCAAATGGATAAAATTAATATTTAAAAAAAAATTAAAAATTTAAATTTAAATAAAATTCCAAAAAAGAAAAGAATGAGAGAGAGAGAGAGAAAAAGAGAAAGAAAGACAAAAATGATACAAATACAATTTTTTTTTCTTTTTTTTTTGAAAAAAATCAAAAATTTTTTTATCAAAAATTATTTCACATCCAATTATACTTATTAGTGTTATTATTCATTGGACCGTTATTTTTTAATTTTAAAAAATTTTTTGCAAAAAAAAAAAAAAAATTTCTTTTATTTCTGAAAAATTTCTGAAAAAAAAATGCATTGAATTGTGAAAAGAAAAAAAAAAAATTGAAATCAAAAATGCTAAAATAAAAATTATTGTTAATTCTTTTAGTTCAATAAAGTTATACTAATAAACGTACGTATTTCACGTACGTTTGCATTTAATTGTTGTAATAAACTTAAAATATTATTGCTTAAGGAATTAACATATAACTTATGCTAATAATGAGAATAAAATTGACAAAATTTATTTTTTGTTTATTTATTATTAATAAAAATTAATTTCAAAAAAAATTGCAAAAAAAGAAAATTGATTATGTGCATTTTCTTTTTTTTTTTGAAAAATTATTAATAATTTGCATATAATCAATCTATTAAATGAAAAGTTAATAATTGCATTTATTTTCTTTTTTAATTAATTTTTTTTTTTATTTATTATTATTTTTTCTTTTTTGTTCTACTTTTTATTTCATTTAATTTGAATTCAATTAAAATTTTCACTCTTTTGTCTTACTATTATTATTTATCAAATAAAAATTATTTTGTGCTATAAATAAATCAAAAAATTAGAATCAAATTTTTTGATTTACTAAAGTTTCATTTAATTACTTTTGTCGCTTTTAAAATTTCATTATTCAAAGGAATAAGCTAATAAGAATAGAAATAACAAAATTTCGTTTTCTTTTTTTGCTTTTTTTTTTTTGTTTATTTTTTTAATTTCTTCTGTGAATAGAAATTGTTTCATTGCTATTTATTTTTCAATGTTTTTTTTTTTTTTTTTTTTTTTAATTAAGAATTATTTACCTGCTACTTTTTAATACCTGTTCACCTATTACTTTTTAAGAATTGTTCCTGTTACTTTTTAAGAATTGTTTACCTATTACTTTTAAGTGCTGTTTACCTGTTACTTTTTAAGAATCGTTTACTTGTTACTTTTTTAGGAATTGTTTACCTGTCGCTTTTAAGAATTGTTCATCTGCTACTTTTCAATACTTGTTCACTTGTTACTTTTTAAGAATTGTTTACCTATTACTTTTTAAGAATTGTTTACCTGTTACTTTTTAAGAATTATTTCATTGTTATTCATTTATTAACTTTTTTTCGAATAAGAATTGTTCAATTCTTCTTTTTTTTACTTTTTTTTCTAAGAAATATTTCTTTTTTTTTTAAAAAAAAAAATGTTACTTGTTTTTTAAATTTTTTTGTGAATAAAATATTTATTTGTTTTTTAAGAAATATCTTCTTGTTTACTTTTTTTTTTTTTTGAGTAAGAATTTTTTGTCTAATTGCTATTTATTTTTTTATGCTATCAATGATAAAATAATTGATTATTACAAAAGTGCAATTAAGAAAATAAAACTTTTAAAATAACATTTGCTAAAAAAAAAAAAAAAAAAACGAAAAACGAAAAACGAAAAAGAAATATTCGATGGCATAGCAAAAAAAAAAAAGAAAAAAAAATGAAAGAAAAATTTTGAAAATGAATGGAAAAAGAAAAATTACAGATAAAATTTATTCTTATCAGTTCTTATCAGTAATTATTACTCATTTGCAAATATCATTTTTGTATAGTTTAGTCGTTGTTCAATTTTTATCATTTTCTCTTTTAATAATGAATCAATTTCAGCTCTTTTCAATTAATAAAAACTTTTTTTTTTTTCAAATTAATTTTTCAAAATTTTTAAAATATATTTTTTAAAAAAATTCTTTTTTTTTTTGAATTTTAAGCAAAAGAAAAATGTTTTTTAAATAAATAAAATGTACAAAAATGTGTGATTTATTTTAAAAAAATGTTTTTTTTTTTTTTGTTAAATGATAAAATAAAATTTTAATAGATTAGATTTAAAAAATAAAAAAAAATTAAACCATAATTCGAATTTAGAATAACTAATTTAATTATTGTCAATTAAACGATCTATATTTTGTGTTTAAAGTTTTTGAAAAAAGAAAAAAAATTTTAATTCAAATAATTATTCAATCAAAATTTTGTTGTTGATAAAATTGATAAGAAATATCACTAATGCCATATTATCAAAAACAATTATTCAATTGAAGCATTTCTTTAAGTGTTCTCATTTTTTTAAATGTTTTTTTTTTTTTTTTCACTTTAAATAATCATAAATTTTACTTCATTTTATTTTTTAAAAGTTTTAATTTAAATTTTTAATTTGCATTTTAAGAATATTTTTTAACAATCTTTTTTTTTTGCAAATCTCCAAGTATAAATTTATTAAGGATGATAGCAATGAGATTGAAATAAATACAAATTTCATTGATCATTGATAGTTACTGATAAGATTGAATTACCAGTGATAAGATCTTTTATTTGAACTTATTTATTAAACTATTTATTTTGCTGTAAATAAAACATAAATTCAATCAAAAAAAAAAACATTTTTTTTGGAAATCGTTTTTTTTCTTGTTTTTAAATGATAAAAAAAGTTTTAAATGATAAAAAAAAAAGTTTATATTATCATAAATTGTATTAATAATTATTGGAATATTTAACATTAATTAAAATTAAAATGTTAGCATTAATTAATATTAACAATGTATTAAATTAATTTGGCATTTGTAAAGTTTAGTAAAAATTTTGAATAATAAAAATTTTTGTCTTAAAATTTCTAAGAAAAAAAAAAAACGAATAATTTATTAGAATTTATTTTATAGCTTACATTAAAAAGAAAACCTTAATAAAAATATACTTTTAAAATTTGTAAATAATTTTTGTTGTAATTAAATTTGTTCCTTTTTTAAAAAAAAAAAAAATTTATTTCATAGTTTTGTTGCAGAAATTCAATTCTATTTATTTATTTATTTTAATTATCAAATTAAAAAGAAAACAAATGTATGCAAATGGAAATGATGCGAATAATGAAAAATTCAATGATAATTCGCAATTAATTACTACCAATTATGCATGTTTGTTTGTTTATTTGTTTCCATTTTTTTTTTCTTCTTTTCTTTTAAATTTTTATTATTAAATTTGAATCGATTTTGAATTTTTATAATTATGGTTGAATAAATTTTCATTTTGAAAAAATTAATGATTTAAAATATCTTAAAATTGTTAACATTGTAATTGTTTAAGCAAAATCTCTAATCAACCTATAATTAATTGTTTCAGAAAAAAAAAAAAAACTATAATTAACCTGTAATTGTTTAAGTAAGAAAATTGAAAAATAGTATCTTTGATTTTTTCTTTTTGTAAATTTTATAGAAATAAGTGAAGGATTATATTACAAATTATAAATCTATAATTAATTAATTAATTAAACTGTAATTTTATTTGTTGTCACATTGCTTATTAACAGCTTATTGCACAAGTAAGTAGGTTATGGTATGGACAATAACTGAGCAAATAGTAATAAGTAAGTAATTAGCCACAAGAAAAATGAAAAAGAAACAATAACAAATGAAGCAAACAAAAATTACTGGGTAGATAACAGGATGAGTAGCAATAATACAAAGCAGTAGTAAGATTAGGTAAATGAAAAAAGAAATATAGTAGTAAATAAGTATAGTTAATAAACAAATAACGAAAAGAACAGCAAATAAAAATATGCATAGTAATGGATGAATAAAAATTATAAAATCTGTTAAAACATTAAATCACAAAATTCAATAATAGTGATAGATAAATAAAAATTATTGGGTAAATAACAGGATGAGTAGCAATAATATAAAATAGTAATACGAATAGTAAACAAATAACAAAATATAACATGTAAATAATAAGACGAGTAACACTGAATGGATGGCAATAAAAGGATTAGCAGACAAATGACAATAAAAATGCTTAGTAAATAACAGGAAGAATAACAATAAGTTTGTATACATTACACTTTAATCTACTTAAAATATATGATACTTAAATTATAATGTTTAAAAGAATTTTATGCATAATACTTAAATTTTAATAAATTTTAATTTGCATTATAAAATTAAAATATTCCATATTAATAATAATTATTATTTATTTATTTATTTTATTTAATCATTAATTATTTATTTGCTCTTTTATTTGTTTAATTTATTCATTAATTATTTATTTACCTAATTTGTTTATTTAAAAAATATTGATTAAACTTATTTTACATATGTTTTTTTTTTTTTCCAACTAATTTTATTTCATTTAACTTTAAAACAATCTAATTTATTATTTTCATTTTCATTCTTATTTTCAGATGATAAATTAAATCAGTTATCATATCAGCAACGATATTTCTGGTCTTGGCAATTGTTTATCATATTTTTTATCATTTTAATCATTGTTAATGCACTGATAATACTATGTTTAACGATGAATCATCAACAATCAGACAATAAAATGACAAATTTTTGTAAATTTATTCCATTAAATGATTATCAAAAGCGTACTTTAGCAACTTTTAAACTTCAAAGGTATTATTTATATTAAATTCAAACTTAAAAAAAAAATATTTAAATTATTATTTGAAGTATTTTTTGTCGTATTTGAAGTTAAGGATTAGATTTTTTTTGTATTATTTTCACTAATTCTAATTTATCCTTTATTAATTAGAATTTCCAATTTACTAGTTGCAATTTTTGACATTAAAAAATGTTTGGTTTTTTAATTTCTTAAATTTTGATTTAATAAAAAATATATTTTAACCATTAGCTTTTTTTCTTTTTTTAAAATAGCTAGCAAATTGATTGGTCTGATTGATCAATCGATCTACCAATCGATCAACTAATTGATTAAATTATTTACTAATATTTAATTAATTTTTTTTTTTTTAGATTCATTTTATAAATTCCTTTCCAAAAAAAACTTTTTTATTTTTTTAAATTAAAAAAAAAACTTTTCTTTTGTTTTTTTGCCGTTCCTTTTTTTTTTCAAAATCGTTAAATTTCAAAAAAAAAGTGAGATAATAATTTATTATTTTTGAATAAATTAAATGAAAAAATTTTTTGCTAATATTTTTAAATTTTTTTTTTTTTGAATTTTAGTTTTTTTTATTTTATTTTTTTATAATTTAGGCCATTACTTAGTGTTGATACAAATAATAATTTGCTTATTCTTTCATCATTCAAAAATTACACCAATGAATTATTTGTTGAGCAATTAGCGCTCGATGATTTTCAAAATGGATTTATGCAAGTTTTGCAATTTTTTTTTTTTTTAATTAAAAAATATTTTAATTCATTTATTGAAAAATTGTAAAATGATAACTGAAAAAAACACAAATAAAAAATTGAATAAAATTTAATTTAACTTAAAATTATTTTATAATTTTTTTTGTTGTCCTTTTCCTAAATTAAAGTAGAAAATGTTAATGCTTATATGTTTATTAAATTTTTGTTAACAATTTGTAATATGATATGATAAGATAAGATATGATAGAGTTTTTTTTTTTTTTAATTTAAAATCATTTTTAGCACTTTTTTTTTCTTAACATACAAATTTTTATTGCTGAATTAGTTTCCAATTTTGAAATGAAATTTCAAAATTGATTAATTTAACTAATTCTAATAATTTGTATTAAAATTTAATTATTACAAATACTTTTTTAACTATCAAAAATAAAAAAGTTAGGTAATTTTTTTTTACTTTTTTATTTGAATTTGAATAATTTTAATTTAGCTCAGCAAATATTAAATTTATTAATGGAATGAAAAATTGTCAACAACTTTCATCAATTGTATATTGTTGTCATATCACAATGAGTGATAATAATTCAATCATTGGCAAAGGCACACATTGTTTCCGTCAAAGTAAGTATTCAATTATTTCATTTCAAATTTCAATCTTTCAATTATTTCATTTCAAATTTCAATCTTTCAATCATTTATTACTTTCACTTTTTAAATTGTAAAATTAGCCACAATTATTTATGTGTAATTTTTAAATAAAAATTTTTTGAAAATATCAAAATTGTATTAAATATAATTGCATATTAAATTTAAATTTTAAATAAAAGTTTTCATTTTTAAAAAAAAAATTTAAATATATAATTTTGTTTAAATTTGTTTAAATTTTTTTTTTTATTCACTACTAATCCATTACTTTTTATTTTAATGCTGAAAAATTTTTTGCAATTTTATTTAATTTTGTACAAAAAATATGAATAATATTTGTGTTTTGTAAATTTTCAAATAAATTTAAAAATAATAATAATGGAATTTTTTTTTTGAATAATTTTTTAATAGATTTAATAGTAAATTACAAAGAAATTTTAAATAACAAATAGATTAATCAATAAATTTCAATTAGATTTAAAAATGCTAAAAATAGATTTTTTTTTGATGTATTTTTTTAATAGATTCTTTAATAAATTGCAGATAAATTCTAAATAATAAAAAGATTCGTCAACAAATTTAAAATAAATTTAAAAAAAAATAATAAAATATTTTTTTTTTTTTTTTGATTAATTTTTTAATAGATTCATTAATAAATTACAAATAAATTTTAAATAATATTACCATTCATCAATAAATTTCAAATAAATTTAAAAACTACTAATAATACAATTTTTTCTTTAAATATCCTTTCAATAGGTCCATTAGATGTGAATGCTGAAATTTCAACAAATATTAATTACACCGATCATTTCTACATGAGAAATATGCAAATGACTGCCATATGGCAAACACTGTCAAACGATGAAACAATTATTTTACTTCAAAATATAACTGGCAAATATAATATGTTTAATACAAAAAATGGCATGTAAGTTGCCTTTTTTTTTGAGCATTTTTAAATTTTTTATAAATTATTTTTATTATAATTTTTTAAAATGAATTTTTTAAATATTTGTAATTTATAAAATTAAAATTTATCATTTGCTAGTTTATTTTCTTTTCAAATAATAACATAAAATAATGAAATTTTAATTAATGGAATAGTAAAAGTTATAATTTTAAAATCGAATTAAACAAATTGAAATTTTTCTTTATTTTTTTTTTTTTTCAGTTTAATGCCTATTTTGGATAATGAAGATTATGCAAATTTAACGCCTGTAGCATCATTTTTTGGAATGGATAATGCTGAAGAATTAACTCAACTTGGTATTTTCATTATTTCAGTTCTTTCCTTTTCCTTAAACATTTTTAAAATTTAAAAACTTTAAATTTTCAAAAATTTTCTAGCACTTAAAATTGCTTATTCCAGAATGTTATATTTAATATAAAATTTTGAAAGTTTGAAAAATTGTTTTTCTTGAATTCTTATTTAGAAATCCTAAAATATCACGGTTTGAATTAATATTTAAGGAATTATTTCAGTAATATTTTCGTCTTTTAAAAATTAAACAAGAAAGAAAAGAAAATGCAAATGCAAATGATTGTAATTTATGTTTATTAATTAACTCATTTTGAAAATAAATAATTTTGATCTTAATTGCAACCTATTATTAATTAATTAATTAATTAACTTGTGCTATTATATAGCATTTCAAATGCATATGATTATAAGTTGCAGAAATATTTAGCACAAATTTAATTTTAATTACAATTATAATTACTCATTAAATTTCTTTTTTCTTTCCAGCAAAAAAAAAGAAAACAAAAGATAATTTAACAAACTTTTTTTTTTTTTGAAAAAAATAAAATTTAAAAATTTTTTTTTAAAATTTTTTAGCTCAAGATGATTATAAATTTTATATTTGTGAATATCTTCGTGATTCAAAACATCGTTTTCTCTTGCAAGAATGTTATCAAACAGCGTATGTGTTTATTTGTTTATTTATTTATTTATTTTTCCTTTTTGTTTTTATTATTATTTACAAATATTTAAACAAAAATTTTTTGACAATTATATTAATGCAATTTATTTTTATATTTTGAAAATATTTTTTTTTAAAAAAAAATACATTAAAGATTGATTAAATTGGAAAAATTTTCACATATTAAATTTTGTGCAAATCCAATTTATCAAGCAGTCATTCAGTTCAATAATGTTTATAAAAATGTTAAATGGCAATTACAGGTTAGCAATTTACCTTTTTTCTTTCTTTAAAATTTAATACTTTAATAATTTGAAACTGAATTTTTCATAAGATTTACGATAAATACAATTTAATTCATTTTTTTATTTCTTTTTTTTCAATGGAGCAAATATCTGAAATGAACAAAACATTTATCTAATTTCGATCTTTGATCTTGTTCAAAAATTTAAAATCAAATATTTGCTTTTCGTTCAAAAATTTGAAATCAAATACTCGCTTTTTGTTTAGAAATTTGAAATCAATTATTTGCTTTTCGTTCAAAAATTTGAAATCAAATACTCGCTTTTTGTTCAAAAAAAAATAGCAATTTTGTTTACTAACAATTTCTCATTTATACTCAATTGCAATTCTCATTTAAAATCTTTGTATTAATATTAAAATTAAAACGAAAAAAAAAGGAAATTAAAGGATTCTTATTGTTTAGACAAAAACTTTTCCCCAATTCATTTAATTAAATTTTTATATAAATTCCACTTTTACAGGTGTCATATACATCAACAAATGAAATCATTGATAATAATATTTACATTGTTGATTCTGTTGATTTAATCACTGATAAACAAATTACAATGATTTGTTCACCATTTATCATTGATATTTATTTCATTTCAAACAATATTCTTGTACATTATGCAATTGATTTACCTAAAATTGATGGTGAAACATTAATTGGTAATTATTTTTAAATGTTTTTATCCTATTATTACTATTATGAAAACGAAACTATTATTAAATTTTTATTTTTATTTATAATTAAATATTGAATAAAATTCATAAAAAATTTTTGATTTTTCTTTTTTTTTAATAATTATTTTTAGAAATAAATAATAAAAAATTAATTGTTTTGTTAGTAAAATTTATATGATTGTTGCATTCATTTTTCTAATAAAATATTACTATCAATAATGTTTTCTTTGCATATCATTCAAAATTTTTGAATAATTTTCAGCAACCATTTTTAAAATTTTTTCTTATTATCAGTAATAGCTTAAAATAATAACAATAAAAATAATAATAATGATAATAATAATATATGATATTAAAATAACAATGATAGCATAACAAACGTAATTTGATTATTTGTTTACTATTTGTAATTTGATTATTTGTTTATTATTTATTATTTTATTACTATTGTGTATAATTCAGTAGAACAATAGTGATAAATTATAATTAATTATTTAGTATTGATATTAAATAACAATAGTAATAATAATAAAGTAATAGTAGTGTATTGCTGGTAACTAATAAAAATAATATATAATAATGATAACTAATTTATTTCAGTATTTCAGAATAATTTTTAATGAAATTAAATTATTTGAAATGAATTTTAATTGAGAAATATTTGTTGTCTTAGAAATTATTACTTTTGCATGAACAGTCGGAATAGTTAATATTTCTTCCAAATTAATTATTTATTTTTTTTTAGGAAAAAAAAAAAACGAAAAAACCTGTATGTTTCCTTGTAAAATTTAGAAATATACTTATATTAATTGTTTATTAATTATCATTGAAGTAATTTGTACTTATATTTTAAATTGAATATTTATCTAATTTTAATTGCTAAAGTAATAATATACATTTTTAATAAATGTGAACTAACAAAATTGCATATTAGCAAAAATATAAATTAAAGGATAAAGCAAGAAAATAATAAACAAAAAACAAATAAACAAATAAAATGCAAAAAAACAAACAAACAAACAAATAAAAAGCGTAAAAATTGTTAGAATTATAAATTATTATTGTAAAATTTATTACTTTAATATAATTTTCCAATTTATTGATTGAATAAAATTTGATCAATTGTGCATGGAAATAAATGAGCCACAATTTTTATGATCAATAATTCATAATTGTTATTAAAATTAAAAATATGTTAATAATTTAAAAAACATTTGAAGTCATTTCAATCAAATTACTTTCAGTTAAAAATTGAATTTTGAAAGAAAATTGAAAAAATATTTTTTGACTTAAATGCACTGAATTAAAATAAATTATTTGGAATATAAAATTAAAATTGAACAGTTGCAAGTACACAAATGAAATTTTTATTCAATTTGCACTTTTTTATTAAATTAAATTAAAAATCCAATGAAGTTAAAACTTATTAAATTAAATTATTACTTTGCAAATTATTTACATTTCTATAAAAAAAAAAGAAAAAGAATTACTTGAAATAATAATTTAAACAGCGTGAAAATGTTTATAGTTAAATCACATTTACTTTTTTAATAAATCATTAATTTTTTGTATCATTTAATTTAATTAATTCTAAGCAAAACTATTTAATTTGTTTATTTATTTAAAAAAACCATATTCAATTTTTATTAAATATTTAATTTTAATTAATTCTGGATAAAAGTTTTTTCATTATTTATTCTTTCCTTTGAAAGAAAACATCTTTAATTTTTTATTTTATTTATTTTTTTTATTAAATAATTTTCAATATTAAATTTTTACTAAATACTTCCTTATTAGATAATGGAATGAATATAAAAATTTTGAAAAATTTGTTTACAAACATTGTTTATTTATGTTTCACACTGACTGGTAACTTTTATTAACAGATCTGTAGAAATTTAAGTAATTTCCATTGAAATTATTTAATGTATTGTAAAATTTTGCTTTAAAAAAGGAAAAAATAAATAAATAAAATTTTTGAAATGCTTAATACATTAATATTTTTTTTCAAATTAAACCTTATTAATTAAATTTAATTAATTAAAAAATTAGATAAAATAGATTAACTTTTTGTATTTGTAAAATTAAATTTAAACAAAAATTTTTGAAAATTATAGCTATCTTTTTTTAATTATTTAAGAAAATGCTATTACAATTATGTTTTATTAACTTTATCAATGAATATTTATTTACATAAATTAATGTTTATTTTATTTTACTAAAATAAATATTTCCTTTTTTTTTTTTTTTTCTTAAAGATTAGAGGAATTATTTTAATAAGAAAATGGCAAATTATCATCCACCATCAAAGTGTAAAAAATTTGATGAACAAACATTGAATGATATAATTTTATCAATTTTTAAAAAATCATTCCGTCATGGAATACCAGCACTGGTATGGATGAATCGAGAAATTATGATTACTGTATGTAAAATAATTTAAAAAATAATTTTACAAAAAAAAAAAAGAAAAATTTGCATAAATAATTAAATTACTGAAAATTTTTATTGGATAATTTTTTTGTTTTTTTTTTTTCTTTTATTTGTTATCGTGTTAAAAAAGAATGATTTATTCAAGTTTTCAATGCAATATTTTGAATATTTATTAAAAGAATTTAAATGTATTTGCAAAATACAAAATTATAATTTACAATTTTGGATTTATGCTTTTTTATTATTATTATTAAGCGATAAAATTTTTTGTTTTATTTTTTTTTTTTTACTTTTTTCCTAAATTCTTTAAAATTTATTTATTTTGTGTGCAAAAAAAAAATAAAGCAAAAAGCGAAAATGTTGATTTATTTGTTTACTTGCTTGTTTATTAACTTATTAATTAGTTTGTTTATTTTTTTTAATTTGTTTTTTTTTTTTTTTTTTTTTTTTTTTTTACATTTTACTGGATCTAAATCTAGAGTATACTGTCATGGTGATTATGATAAGTTTCATTTTTTCCTAGTTTTTGATTTAAGGATGGTTTTGATATATTTTTTAAATTTTGTTTAGTTTATATTTTACTTTTAAATTCAAGTGACCCTATAATTTTTGTTGAATCTGATTCAATAGCTAGTCCAGTCCATGTAGCACCTGAATGGCATATTTTTATGCGCTTTTACTATTTTGTGCTCCGTACCAAATAAGTTGTTTGGTGTTATTTTAATATTTTGATCAATTTTTGTTTTGCTAAGTTTCGTATGATTTAGTAAGTATCAGGTGGATAATATTTTATCGACTTAATTGTTTATTTATTTGTTTATTTTCAGTTAATTCATCATGTAGTCGACTTAATTGTTTATTTATTTGTTTATTTTCAGTTAATTCATCATGTAGTCGACTTAATTGATTATTTATTTGTTTATTTTCAGTTAATTCATCATGTAGTCGACTTAATTGATTATTTATTTGTTTATTTTCAGTTAATTCACCATGCAATTAAGCATATTGATTATTTATTTGTTTATTTATTTATTTTTAGTTAATTTATAATGCAATCGACCTAATTGATTATTTACTTGTTTATTTATTTATTCATTTTCAGTTAATTCACCATGCAATTGAGCTTATTGATAGAAGTGATTCAATGTTTATTGTTGTATTGGATGAAGCATTAGAGCGAAAGTCAATATTTGTTGTTGGTAGCATCGATGGTGATTTAACATATTTAATGACATTATTAAAACAATACAAAATGCCGCCAACATCATATTTCATCTTTCTTGGTTAGTTGTTTAATTAAATTGTTTTTCTCTTCCTCAAAATTATTATTTCTTTTTTATTAATTTTTCTGTTTTCCTTTAATTAATATTAATTATTTGCAATTTCATTGTTTAATAAATTAATGAAATCTGTTTATTGAGTTTGTTTTTTTTTTTATTTTAAATTTTTCTACTTCGTTCTTCTTTTGCTTTTGCTAATAATAATTTGCAGATTTATAAATTAAATACTTTCATTAATAAATGCAAATTTAAAAATTAATTTTTTTTTTTTTTTAAAATAAAATTGTAATAAGATTTTTTTTCTAGAAAAAATCAAAAAATAAAAATTAATTTAAACTTTTTTGTTGTAATAAAAATAACGATAATAATCATCAATAAGTTAATGAATTTAAGCTAAATTAGTGTGTGCGCAATAATAATTAATATGTATACATATTTGCATGCATATTTTAAATGCATGCATGCATGCATCAAATACTGTAAGATTTACTTTTACAATTGCATAAACATTTATTTTTGTCTGATAATATCTATAAATCAGTTGTGCAGCAAATGTTGCATGCATGCAGTAAGATTTATCTTTACAATTACTTATGAAACAATCATTCAGCATGCATGCATATTTGATTTTATTTTTATTAAATAACAAAAAATGCACACTTGCATGCATACTTGCTTGCATGCATGCAATCAAAAAAAAAAAAAAAATGATTTTCAGGTGATTATTTAGACTGTTTTAATCCATCACGAATTGATGCATTGCTATTATTACTAAGCCTGAAATTACGATTTCCACGAAATATTTGTCTTTTTCGTGGCCATTATGAGACATTTGAAATGTGTAAAGCAATTGGTTTTGATAAAATAGTTAATCATTTTTAAATATTTTTTTTTTATTTTAATAATTAAATTATTGAATTTGTTTTGAAAAAATAAATCATTCATTTATTAAATTTTTTTGTTATTAAAATTTTTTTTTCAAACAAATTTTTTAATATATATATATAATTGTTTCAAATTATTTTTTCATTTTTAATGCAATTTTTTTTTTCAATTGAATTGAAAAAAATTTATGAAATTAGTATATCAAAAAAAAAAATATTATAAAATTTCTGAACAAATAAAAAGAAAGAAATCATCAAATGACAAGGAGAAGAGAGAGAGAGAGAGAGAAAGAGAGAGAGAAAAGAAAAAATAATTTTTTTTTAAATGCATAGCAAAATTAAAATGCTTTTGATAGAGACTATAATATTAATAATAAACTATAATTAATTAACTATATTAAGATGTATTTGATACAGATAGTTGACAATTATAATAAAATAATAATAAAATAATTTTAGGTTAAGTAATACTAATTTAAGTATCTACTACTTCATAATTTTACTTTTTTTTAAAAAAAGTAGATTGATAATTAGCATAATTAACACTTTATTAGCATTCAAATTTGTTTCATAAATTTGAAAAAAAAAAAGAAGAATTTTTGATTAAATTAATTTTTAGATTAATGATGAACGATTATTACAAAGTTTTTTTTTACTCTTTGAATATTTACCTATCGTTGGAATATTTGGTAGTAAGTTAATTTTGATTTAATCACCCTTCTTATCAATTATCACTAAAATTTATAATTTATATTTTATCCTTTTTTTCTTCTATAATTGCTAAACATTCAGCAAAAATTTTCTGAAATTGAATTATTAATTTACCTTTTACTTTTTTAAATTAAAAAAAAAAAAATTATTTCAAAAAAAGAAAAGATAGAAGATAAAATAGCGATAGTTTTCATTTTAATTTTCTTTAAATTCAAAATTGAGATTTTTTTTTTTCTATAAAATTTATTAAAAAGTTAAAACGATTAGCAAAAAGTGAAAGAAAAGAAAAAACGAAAACTTTTTATTCCATAAAAATTTTAATTTCTTTTTTAGCATAATTATTCGTTATTTAAAGTGAAAAATTTTATTTGGAGGAGAAAAAAAAAAGAATTTTTTGGAATATAACTTAAATTCGATGATTTTAAATTTAAATTTAAATTCAATGATTATAGAATTTTTATGTCTTCATGCTGGTATTTCAACATTTATGACCGATGATTCATTTCTTCATGCATTTGTAAAGCCAATTGAAGTAAAACGAATGACTGTACGAGAACGAACCGTTTTAACGGATATCCTATACGGTAAACCGGATAAGAATTTACCTACGTAATGTTTATTAAATTTTTTTTTTTGTTTGAAGTCGAAAATAATTTTTAAATTTATAAAAAAAAAAAATGAGTGAATTGAAAGTGATAAATTAATTAAAAGGAGTAAATTAGAAAGCATAAAGTATTGCATATATTTATATTTTTTTGATGAAAAAACACAAATAATTTTTAAATTTATAAAAAATAAAAAAATAATTAAAAAAAAATGAAATAAAAGAAGTAAATTTCAAAAAAAAGAAAAATCTGTAATTTAATCAGAAATAAATGATATAATTGAAACATTTTTGAGTAATTAATTTTATTTGATTGAATTCAAAAAGAAAAAGAAATAAAATTAATAAAACAAAACAGATTTTAAATTGAAGAATTGAAAAAAGAAAAAGAAAGAAAACTAAAAAAGAATTTTTACTAAATGAAATAATCTTATCTTTTGATTGTTATCATTATTCAAAATAAAAATTTTGATTATTTTATCAATAAATTAAAAAAAAAAAATTTAATATTATTTCATCTATTATTCCTAAATACCATCACAACTATATTTTTGAAATTTTTTAAATTATTATCTCATTAATTAGTTAAAATCAAATGAAAGAAAACTTTTGTTTTTTATTTTTAATTAAATAAATTCTTAAATATTAGAATAGATTTTGCAGATTATTTGCTCCATCAAATAGCTATCCAATTGGAAATCGTTTTAACCAGGAAGCATTAAATGAAATACTTAATATATTTGAATGCAAAAGATTAATTCGTGGTTGTGGTTGTCGAGAATCAAATAGTGCAAAATTTGATTTTGATAATAGAAAATGCATTACCATTGTTTCAGGTTGTAGCAGCAAACATACAAGCTGTGAAAGTAAGTATGAAAAAAAAAAAAAGATTTTAAAATTAATTTTAAATTTTACAATGCATATTAAAAATATTCTCTTATATAGATGATAATTTAAATTTAAATCTTAAATTATTCTAAAATTTCACAGATCTTTTCCTTCTTTCATGTGTTTTAAGTTTTACATTTTTTTTTTTTGTATATTTACTTTTTCATTTTATAACGCAAATATGTCCTATCGCTTTCATTTCATATCTCTCTCTCTCTCTCTCTTTCCTTTTTTTTAATGTTTATTATTAGAAAGAAAAGATGGAATTTTTTTTTCCAATGAAATTTAATAAAATTTTAAAATTAATTAAATTCATTATGTTTTGAATATATCAAAAATTAAAAGGAAAAGTATAATAATAATAATAATACTAATAAAGTAAATTTTTCTTCTAATTTTTACAATTTCAGCTAATATTTCATTCTATCAATATTCATAATTTATTGATAACAAAAATTTTTTTTTTTTTTTAAAGGAAGTTTAATTCAAATACATCGATATGGTCAATTTGTAATATTAAATATTGATAAAGATATTGGTTGGAATTTGAAATGTAAACATTATTTCAAACGATCATTAGAAACTTTCATCTGTTATTGCACTGAATTATTTCAATCAACGCCATATGATTATCAATTTGATTTATCAGTGAAATGTGTCGCATGCGGATGGATTGCTCAGGGAAAGAAACCTGAAAATGTTACTATATCACATGCATTACTGAAGAGTTTTGTTGAAGGTATTTAAATAATTAATAATTTAATTGCATCATTTTTATTAGCTAATTATTATCACCATTATCACTATTATTACTATTATTATCATTATCATTGCTATTATCGTTATCATAAAACTAAGCAACATGAATTTTTGACATTTTTATCATTCTTGATTCTTCGGTAATAATACAATTATGCATATTCATACATAACATTACAATGATAGAAATTTTACATGATATTAAGATTATACACATCTCTTTTGATCATTATTACGATTATATATGTAATATACATATTACTATTATGTATTACTATTATATATGATTGCATATATTACATAGTATTATAATCGTATAATTAATCAGTATTAAAATACGTAGTATTACAAGTATACATATGTAATAACTGCATGTATCACGATTATACGCATTCCCTTAATCAGTAATTACGTAATGTATTGCGATTACATATATATGTATTACGATTATATTGCAATTATATTTATTACATGATTACAAATTATTTAGATTACAATTCTGTATTAAATCAATATTCGAAGACATAATATTATTATATTACGATTATTTATTATAATATTACGTAGTACTACGAATATATGTATATTTAACTGTACGATTTATGTAGCATAATATTACAATGATAATTTTTTATGAAATATTACGATAATGCGTGTTTTCACGTAGTATTACAGTGACACACATTTTTACGTAATATTACACTGTCATACGTTATACGTCAGTACTACAATCTTTGATTTACTTTACTTATTCAAATAAGAGAGATATTATTTGGAATTGTTATTAAAAATTATCATGAATATATGAAAAGATAAATACTTTAATTTTGATTTTCTAAATAATAAGTTTATATCCCAAATTATGTAACTATTACTAAGTTAATCCTATATCTATTACTAATATAACTGTATATAACTACTAATAAATTTGTAAACTTTTTAATTTTAACAAACTTAGTGTTATTAATCTCAATTTTAATCTTAATTAAGAATTTCTTCTAAGTTAGATGATTACGGATTTTTTTTTTCACATATTTAACTGAAATTTTGTCCTTTCATTAAAATTATTTTAATTTTGACTAAATAATTTCAAATTTTATTACAGAAATGATTTATCCTCATAAGCTTCATAATCATTTTTTACTTGATCCACGATTGGAACAATATATGCATGTTGAATTATTTCCATTATGTCAAGATTTCTATTATCATGGCTTGGAGCAATTGACAATATCATTTCCAAGCATTAATGAATATCCGGTAAGTAATTTGCAGTATCAGTAAGTAATTAAATGAAATATGGATAATATTTGAGTGCCTCTGATTATTTCATATAAATAAATTCTCAGTCAAAAAAAAAAAAAAAATACTAAATTATTTATGATATAAAGCTACCAATAATTTAATTCTGTTTAGTAAGCTTACATATTTATAATTATTTTTGATAATAAAATAATTGTTTACAATTTTGCTTATGCAAAATTTTCAACTCTTCCGCTTCATTTTCGCTTAATTTTCTTCAGTTTATTAAATCACCGATGATTAAATGGAATGAAGAAATGCTTGAAACAGTAAGTTTTTTTGATATTACTGCCAAAAAAACAATCAAAATTTTAAACGATTCATTAATAAGCTATTAAAAATGAAAAATTTGTTGCAAGAAATTAAAAATATTTGAAATAATAATTTTCGACAAATTTAGATAACTTATTTTTAAATGTTAATTGATAAAGATAATTTAAATAGTAATTATAATACATGCAAATTTCCACAGGCAAAATGATAGATTGAGTTTTTGAAAAAATTTTGAATTATTATATGGTAAAAATTAGTGTTTCAAAAAATTTGTAACAAAAATATTAGTTAAAAAATGCTCACAATGTTTTACTTAGCAATGATTACCAATAATTATAATGATAATAATTAAATCTTACACAAAATATTACTCGTAAAATAGCTCTGAAATTGTTCAATAATAATAGTAATACTAATAGCAACAACAACAGCGATAATGATAATAGTAATTAATGATAACGACGGTAATAATAATAATAATAATAATAATAATAATAATAATCATAGTAAATAATAGCAATAATTGAGTGCTAATGAATGCTTAAAAAGTAATCGTGAATTTAACTAAAAGATAATTCAAAAGATAACAAAGATTAGAAAGAAGAAAAAAAAATGCATTTTCTTTTTTTTTTGCAAAAATGATAAATAAGACGAATGATTCCTCTTCAATTTCCATTATTTTTGTAACCTCAATGATAATCAGGTTAGCAAGATGATCGAGTCAAATTATAAAACGAGTCAAAACAAGTCATATGTGTATATTAATCGTATCATACGACCTGGTTATGACTTAGAACCAAATAAAGAGGTAAAATGCTGAAATTTCACTTTTATCATTGATTTAGGAAATAGTATACCGTATCAGCACATATTAAATAATAATGTACTGTATCAGCATATATTAGGAAATGGTATACCGTATGAGCATATCATATCACCGGTATAACATATCTTGATGTTATACATAAAATAATGTACCGTACTACCATGTAATATCTCCTGTTTGATGTCGTGATATACCGTACTCAACGGATCGCATATAAATCAATCTACCGTATCACCATGCAATGCCTCTAGTTCAGCATATCGTAACATACCGTACTCAAATCAATAGTTTGTATGTAAATCAATGTACTAATGTATCTAGTTTAGATCACATTTAAAATATTAAAAACATTAAATCGAAATACTAAATATTAAATCAATAATAAATTATAATAGATCAAAATGCTGTGAACAAATTAATACATTAGATTAATAATTAATAATAATAAAAAGTGTCATCAAATCTATTTATTAATTTATAAACAGTATTGTGTAGTAAGCATCGAGAATTATGATAAGTTGTTATTACTGTAATAAAAATTTAGTAAAATATATATTCGTTTTTAGTAGATGTTAATTTCAAAAACTAAAAAAAGAAGGATGATAATTAGCAATATTGAAAAATTAAAACATTTAATTAAAGAATATTGAAGTAATGCTTACTCTATTTGTAGCCAATTGGTGATGAAATTGAACATTTTCATAAGGTAAGTTAGAATCTTTAATTCTTATGAATAAAACAACATGTATATACCTGTATAGATTGAATAATTATTTTAGTAGTGAATTTAATTAAAATCCTTTTTGCATTTTGAATTAAATGAAATGCTTCTTGTTTTATATGATTCATGTTTAGTTATTAAACTTAAAAATTATTATGTTACATAATAATTACAATTTTGGATTGAAATCTTTATCAAATCTAATTTTTTAGCTAGATTTACAACGTTTACGTCAATTGCAACATTGGTTACGTACCATTTTTGCACCACGTTTATCATACAAATATCGCATAGAACGATTATCCAATGAGAATGTTAATTGATAATGAATAAACAAAAGTGATAAATAATAGATACGAAAGTATCACTATGATATATAAAATGATAGTAAAACTAATTTGCTGAAACAGATGATGTTAAAATGATCATTAACACTTCTGTTTTTATTATAATTACTTTTCACTTTTTTCTTTTTTAATAATGCAACATGATTTAAATTTATTTTAAAATTTCCATTTCAAATTTGTTAAAAACTCTCAATTTCAAAAAATTTCAATTATGATGCAAACAACTTGCAAATAATGATACAATGTTGAAGAAAATTCGATGTTATAATACTTTCAATCACTTATTAGTACTCAATTCTCAACACTAATTTTAATGACTCTCTTTGCATGCACCTTATTACTTATAAATTTAATTAATTGATGCTATAAACACTTAATGATTATTGAAATTATTCATTAACAACAAGTAGTTTTTCATTTCAAACAGCATTTGGTATATATCATAAAGTAATCAATAAAATTTAATTATATTTTGTTTTGCAGAAAATTTAAGCAGAAAAAATAATAAATACAATTCATAATGAATTTAAACATGCAATATGTTAAATAATGAATGTGTCCATTTTATTTAAATTGTCTCATTAACTTTAAATTTGTCTCATCATATTAACTACTAGTAATTAAATTTAGAATTACATTTGACAATTATCATCAAATTAAAAATTTTGTTCCGTTACATTTCATTATTATTGTCGTTATTATTTTTGTTATTTATTATTATTACTTAATTAATACTGTCATCATTATTATTGCTAAAATTATTATTATCATTTTTATTTCCATTAAAATAATATTTGCATCAAAGATAAACTTTATATTCTGTTATTTTAGGTTTGTTATGAAAGATTTATAAAACGAAAATTTACAAAAATTATATTTTAAAAATTATCAAAATATTTCTAATTTTTTAAATTTAGAGAAGAGAGATACGTTGTTATCATTAAATCATTTGTAATTTAATTGATATAATTATTTATTATAGAAATCGTTCATTGTAAATAGCTTTTTAAATTAGAAAAGTCATTTGCTATCTAAAGTGAATATTATAATTATATTAATTATAATCAGTTCTTAGTTTGAATTTACTTCAAAATTTTGAGGAATGCATTTTCATCTATCACATTTTGATATCATTTAACTGATTTGTAATCCAAATGATATGATTATTAATTGATAATATTGTGATAGTGATAGCATGATTAAACATACTTTATCATTTGCATATTTAACTACCATAAAGCACTATCTAATCATTTTTTTATCATCACAACATTCCTATCCTAATCATTCTACTATTATCAATATCAGTTGTTTCATTATTGTTATAATCACTTTACTATCATCATTGTCTTTTAATTCATTATATACCTGTTATCACTTTTCACTTTTATTATCATCTCTATTCTACTATCATCTTTATCATTAACTCCATTCATCTATCAATTTGATTTAAAATTCTTCTAATCATTGCAACAAATTTCATTTATCCATTGTCATTCTTTTCAATCAAATAATTAATCAAATCACTAAACTATTCATTAAATTCTTATCAGCTTTGAACACCGTATAATTCTTTTTTTTTAACTTTAACTTTATACATTTTTAAACTTTTTCGTTTATTTTAATAATATTTTTTTGCTAGGCTATTTGATATATATTTACTACTAAGTTAATATATCTTTTTTTTTAATCTATTTTTCATTTTTGTATCAAAAAAAAAAAAAAAAGCAAATAATTATTGAAAGAATTAGAATGAAATTGTAAAATTATTATTTGAAGTGAAATTAGCTAAAAATTTAAAAGAAATTATTCCTAAAAATTTATTCGAAGTGAAATTTAGCAAAAAAAAAAAAAAAAAAGAAAAAAAAAAGAGAGAGAAAAAGAGAAAAAACATTAATAATTCATTCAAAAAAATATTTTTCTATAAAATAAATTCTGGTTGTTTACTTTTATTTCAGTTCTGTAAGTCAAAATATTTGCCCATTTTTTGATTAATTCTAAAAAACAGCTATTTGCTACCTTTTTCTCTTTGCTAGGCTATTTACTATTTAATTAATATATGGCCCCTTTTTTTTTTTTAATTTATTTCCATTCTTTTTTTTTTATGAAATATAAATTATTAAATTGAATGTATTGTAGATTTTTTGGCCTGAAGGTCTAAGCTTATGCTTTTTCGTTTTCTTCGAGAAAGACTTTTTCAATTCAATCATTTAATTTAAATTGATGATTGCAATAAAATTTATTGCTAATATTACTATTATTATTATTGTTATTCATTTATTTACTTAAAAAAATTCTTAAAAATTTATCAAAATTAAACAATAATGTTTGATTATTTGAGATAAAAAAAAACTTCTGAGAAAAACTTATTTTTTTTAATAATATTCAATAAAAAATAAACTTTAAGTAACTTTTTAATTACTAAAATTACAAAGCATTTAAAATTTGATAGAATGATATTATTATTATTATTATTATTATTATTATTATTATTATTATTATTGTTATTAACAAAATGAAATTATTTTGCAATTTAAAATAAAACATTTAAAAATATTAGTTTTGAAATTCCTAACATTAAAACTATCTTTAATGATCTCATTAAAGTGAATAAAATTTGAATGTAATACATATATTGAAATTTTAATTGGCAATTAAATTTCATATTTAATTTTAATTTGAAAAAAAAAAAAAATTTTTCCCCTACCTTTAATCAATTATTTCATTTCAATAACAAAATACAATCATTGAATGATTGTTATTGACAATAAGAAATTTTGTTTACAACAATATTTACAAAATCATATCAGTTTGTGGCTGAAAAACATGTGATTTAGCTCAAATTCTTTCCATTTTCTCTTTGCTATATTAGTTATTATTTGTTATATTTACTAATTATTTACTAAATTATTTCTATTTTTAATTTATTTCCTATATTATTTGTTAATTGTTGCTATGTTACTTATTATTTACTTATTAATTTGCTATAATGCTAATTATTTTGTTACTTAAAGAAAATTTCCGATTGAATTAATTAAATGCAATGATTTAATTAAATACTTGGAAACTAATTATTTATTGGTAATACAGCAAAGCAGTAGGTAATTAATAAGTAATATAGCAGATGGTAATAAATAATAAGTTTTAAAAAAATAGTTCAGTCTTATCAAATATTGAAAAAAAAAAAAAAAAAATACTTCGTCTGTTATTTCAATATGTATCATTTAATTTCTTTATTTAAGATATTCAAGTAAACAAATTCTGATATTTGAATCTTAAATTTAGAAATAGATTTCCTTCCTTTTTTTTCTGCTACATAAAATACTTCGATAGATTTTTAGCTTAAATTAATTCATTAAACAATGAAAAATTTTAAGTTTAATTTCATTGTATTTGAATTTATAAATAAAATTATTAGCGTTGTATTTAAGTTTACAAAATAAAATTACATTGTAAAATTAATCAAAAAAGTAAAGAAATATGAAATTTATTACTACAATCAATTATCTAATTATTGTAATCATAAATTTCTCATGCTGATACAATAAGAAATTACTGAGCAATAAATGCTAAGCAAATATGAAAAATAAAGTTATCTTTTATTAATTTTCTTTCCTTTGTTTAACAAAAAAAAAAGGAAAAATTCTTTTTTAAAATCCTTTGTGAAAAAAATTAAAATTTTTTTTTTTTTTTGCTAATTGCTTTAAATGAATGATTGAAGCAATTAAATGAGATAACTTACTTAAAAAACTGAAAATATTCGTTTATTTCTAACTTAGAAAACAAGTTTCTCAAATAAGTTTGAGAGAAAAAAAAAAAAAAAAAGGCAATGGAAATGGTTGACAATATATTTAAAAAGATTTAAAAATTTTTTTCAATTTCATTACAAAATATTTTAGTTTTCGTTGTTACTAGAAATTCTCTTATATGCAATCAAATTTTTTTTGTATTTTTAGCATATAATAGGCAAAAATATTTTTGTAATTTTATTTTTTATTTAAAAAAAAAAAAAAAAGGAAAATTTTGAAAGTTTTACAAATTATCATACATAATTTTATGTTTCATTAATATTTTAATTATTTAATAATTTTTTGAAATATATAAAATATGAATGTAACATTATTTATTGTTTTCTTTCAAATTAATTTCCGTTTTTTTTTCTTTTTTTTACACTTTTTATTGCTTATTACATTTGAATATTTTTAATAATTTTATATTATAAAGCAAAAAAAAAAAAAAAAAACTTTTTTTCTTTCAATTTTTGAGAGTAAATTTTTTAATAAAAAATTAAAATTAAATTTTGCTAATTTTTAAAAATTATTAGAAAATTTTTATGAAAAATGAAAATTGCTGTAAATGTAATCAAATTATATTTACAGCAATTTGAAAAAATGAAAAAAAAAATTTTTGAAGAAAAATAAAATTGAAAACGATTTAACTGATACATTTATCATTTATCAGTACTAATTGAGTCGTTGCATTACTCAAATATTTTACAATGCAATGGAACGAAACGAATTTGTTTTATTTTTTTGTTAAAAAAAATTAAAAAATAAAATAAAACAAATTCGTACTCTAAGAAATAAAAAAAAAACGAAAGAATTTCGATTTTATTTCTACTTTTTCCATTTCTCAATTGTATTTTGCAAAAATGTATTTTTGAAATTTGAAAAAAAAAAAAAAAGAAAAAGAAAAATGAGAAAAGTGAAAAAGTTTGCTTCAACGATTCAAAAAAATTAGCAATAATTTTATAATTTTAAAATATTACAACTAATTATATATATTTCAAATTTGAAAAATTTTCCTTCCTAATTTCAATTTAATTAGTTGCTATGCAAATTTTGCTATTTAATTAACTAATTTTTTTTTTTTTTTGCAGCTAATTGTACTTAAGTGTACAATGTTTGAATTCGTTTAAATTATTTTAATCATTTTAAAATTTTAAACATTTTCTGTTTTTAAAAACGAAATTAGGA